TGTGTGTGTGTGTGTGTGTGTGTGTGTGACAAGATTTCACTAAATTGCTGAGGCTGGCCTTGAACTTGGATCCTCCTGCCTTCTCCTGAGTCATTGGGATTATAGGTGAGGAACACTGCACCTGGCTTTGTAAGAATCTTGATCTTAGACTTTCCAGTTTCTAGAAACATGAGAAATGAATGTCTATTGTTTAAGTCACCCAATCTATGCTAATATATTAAAGGATCCCAAACTAGGATCCTACTCCCTATTAAAACAGTTAAAAGATGGAATATGTTAGTGTATGATGTTTTAGGCTGAAGGGTATCAATGAATAGTTCAATATTTATTGAGTACCTTTTATGTCCCAGGCCCTGTTCTAGACACAGGAAATAGTAGAGAATAGCAGAAATACTATGCCTTCAAAGAACTTAACATTCTAGCAAGGGACCAAAGAGCCCATACTCTCTTATATCTTTTTCTCTGACTTCACTAAGATGAATAATTCACACATGAGAATAATACATAATAATACACGCACACATACACAAGCATATGTGTAGATATTAATTTATAATACATAATAATACACATACACATACACAAGCATATGTGTAGATATTAATTTACATATGTGGTAGATATTAATTTATTCAGAAAATAATTTTCAGCATTTAAATTCCAGGTAATGTTAGTAATTGGGAATAGAGACTTTTTTTTTTTTTTTTGGGTAGTGCTAGGATCAAACCAGGGCCTCGTGCATGCTAGGCAACTGTTCTACCTCTCAGCCTTTATAAAATCATTCTTACTCTCATGGGTTAATGTGGGAAAACAGAAAAATAAAATAAATTCCTACAATATTGTGTGACAAGTGCGGTGATAGAGGAAGACACAGCTATAAATAAGAAGAAAAATTCTCAGTGGAGTAGGATGACTAAGCTGAGTCTTTAATGATACGTGAGTTGACAGGATAAGGGGAGGGAGAAATACATGCATAGTAAGGACACCATCAAGTCGCAAGGCAAAGAAGCTAAAATAGCATAAGACCCTAAGGAAGTTTATGACGGCAGAATGTCTCATAAGGATGGGTGGTTGTGGAGGAAGGAAAGTAGCAGAAATAATTTGCAAACCAAAATGGGTCTTACATGCTAGGTTATAGAACTCTAAATTTTCTTTAGAAGCAAAGAATAACTTGCTGAAGGACTGAAAGTGGGAGAATGATATGATTATGTTTTAATTTTAGAAAGACAACTCTGGCGGAGGATACAGGAAGACGACAGAAGCAGAGAAACCAGACAGGAGGCCAACACAGACTGCAAATAAGAAATAATGAAGGCACAACCCAAGGCAGTGGTCTTGGCAGTAGATAGAAGGTATATCTTCAAGCTTTTCAGAAGGAAAAAAAATCAAGAGGATTTATCAGCCATCACAGACCTTGTTTGCCTGCCCAGCATTCAATGCCCTGCTATTCCTTGATAGCAAAGCCTTGATTGTATTCAGGTGTCCACTCTCCTGAGTTCATCCATGTGCACAAGAAAGGTAACCCAGTCCTACCTCATTACTAAACTATGGTTAGTCTAAGATAACCATGGCAATCCATTATAGTCACAGATGGCATAGGGGTGAGCATACGACCCTCTTCTGGCCAGTTACAAGAATGGGAAAATCCTCGGAGAGCCATGTAGGGAAAGTTTTCTCATTAAAAAGAAGAAATGCCACTCCTCTCTACCCAAACCACCTTCTCCATTCCACTGAGCTCCCTTTCATTTTGGGAAAGGGAAGAACAGCAGAATGAAATCCACCAAATAATGCATGTATGATTATGTCAAAATGAACCCCATTATTATGTATAGCTGCAATGAACTAATAAAAACACTTTAAAAAAAAAAAAAGAAGAAATGCATGGAGAAGCAATTGAATTCTGTCAAAAGTGAATGTGCTCACTATAAGTTGAGCAGCCAGACACCTAGTGTTCAGGAGAGGAGCTAGCCAAGAACAAAGCCATCGTGAAGAGAATTCGATAATGGAAAGAGAAGAATTTGGGGTCTTGATAATGTTCTTCAGTAGTAGATTAACCAGTCCTGAAGCAGCTCTGTCTCATGTTTGTTTTATGAGATTTTTAAAAAAATCTCTAGTTGAGGAGGTTTTTATGTTACTTGTAGCAAAGAACATCTTAGCTGACATTGCAAACTACTAGATTTAGTGTTTAAGACTAGGGTTCAGAGCTGGGCACAATGATGCATTCTGTAATCCTAGCTACTTGGGAGACTGAAGCAGGAAGACTGCAAGTGTAAGGCCAGTCACAGCAACTTAGCGAGACCCATTTGCAAAATAAAAAAATAAAAAAGGGCTGGGGATGTAGTTCAGTGGTAGAGCACCACTGGATTCAATCTCTAGAACTAGGAAAAAAAAAATTAGTATCCAGATTCTTGGCTTATATGACTGGAATGATGAAAATACCAGAGACTGGAAATAAAAGGAGCATGTGTTGCTTACTCATTCCTTCAATCAGCAAAAAAAAAAAAAAAAAAAAAAAAAGAGCATATTCATTAGTAATTTCACATAGCTAGTAAAAGCATCAACAGGAAGTAGTGATATATCAGTTGGCCCTCTGCATCTATAGGTTTTCAATCTTTATATTGTATTAGGCATTATAAGGTATGTATATTGGAGGATACATGTAAAGGCAAGAACTATGTCTGTTTATTTATTTATTTGTTGTAGATGGACACAACACCTTTATTTTATTTATTTATTTTTAGGTGGTGCTGAGAATAGAACCCAGTGCCTCACATGTGCTAGGCAAGCACTCTACCACTGAGCTACAACCCCGGCCCCTATTTATTTATTTATTTGTATTTTAAGACAGAGTCTCATTAAATTACTTAGGGTTTTGCTAAGTTGCTGAGGCTGGCTTTGAACTTTCAATGCTCCTGCCTCAGCCTCCTGGGTAAATTCTATGCCATATTATATAAGGTATTTGAACAGGCTTAACTTTTTTATCCTGGGGGAGAGAAGAGCCTTGGAACCAATCCTTTGCAAACACCAACAGATGAATGTGTACAAAGTGCTAAGAGAGTACAGAGGAGGATCCTGGGAATACCACCAAGGAAAGACAGTTTGAATTATCAGTAAGCTATAGTTTCAAGAAAACCAGAGGTCATTCTCTAAGAGGGAAGCTAAAGTCCAAAAATAACATCTCATAATAAGCATTTAGAAAGAATATGCCTATAACTGACTGTTAGTTCCAACTGTTTAACCTCTAAATTGCTTTACTCAGAAATGAGTGAATCTGGAACATCAATTAGAATTAAGTTTATAGATAGTGATGAATGATATTACATAGGCCAAGAGTTAAAGAACATCCACTTACCTTTGCATAAGCTTTTCCACCTTTTAATTCCTGCCAAACATAGAAAACACTATAAGGACATCATATAATTAAGGATTTAAAATTAAACATACATCAAACAATGCCAAAGTAGATATTTATATGCTGACAAAACAGTTAAAATCTAATGATCTTAAATCTAACTGTATAGACTCTTCAAAATTCCCCCAATGACCAGAATGTTTACTTAATGTATAATTTATTATTTTTAATATCAATACTATTATTATTGAGATGAGGTCTCACTATGTTGCCATGGCTGGCTTCAAATTCCTGAGCTCAAGCAAACAACCTGAGTAGCTGGGACTACTGGCACAAGCCACCATATGTGGCTGTAGCA